GCTCTTCCATTAAAGTAGCTTTTCTCAATAGGACCAATAGGTTTTTTTGGGAAAAAACTTCAGACAAATGTCCGGGTTTCCAAGAAACACTACGCGGTACATTACTCAGCAAAATCCACTGCTTTCAATTTTGTCTGAACTTTTATACAAAATATAAATACACATCATTCATGATCGCCTTGTTTTTTCTTTTCTCTAGCAACATTATCTGCAGAACAAATTCAAACAATTTTATTGGAAAATAAATTTACAACCTTGAAAGCTACAGATATTGAAGCATACTATAAAACATTTATCAAAAATCAGTAAGAAACTATACGATTTGTGATACTTTTACCGTCAATTGTCTCTTAACTCGTTTAGCCCAAGCGGTGAATTGAATGAAAAAGGTTTTATTGATGAATTTAAAAAATTATTTCCGCAGTAAGTCTGAACTTTTAAAGACGTTGTCGCTACAACTATTCATATTTTATATTAAGTGGGGAACCAAAACAATACTGTAGTTATGCATTGAAAATATTCAATAAGAATCAGAAGCGAGCTATTAGCTTTGACGAATTCATGTCAGCAATAGCTTTGACTTTGCCAGGCGATGTTGAATTGCAACTTAATCGTGTATGTAAACATTACGAAATTCTAATACTTTCAGACAATTTCTACTATATTGTTTTAAAGATCTTTGCAATGTGTGCTTATGATAGCTCAGAAAGCATTACTGTTGACGAAATGAAATTATATCTGAAATCTGTTGCCAAACTGAAACGTATTTCCACGAATGATGTAAGATTTATTGCAGATAAAGTGATGAACTTTTGCAAGAAAGGAAAAGATGAAAAAATAACAAAAGAAGAATTCATTAATTGGTGCGCACTTTCTGTAAAACTCCTTTTTCAATCTTTACAGTCTATTTCTCTTGTAGCATGGAAATTAATTACAATTTACGAATGGAATTTTCACTATTGCCAGTCATACCCGGTGAGTAACATTATAAATGCTGAAGATGGAATAGCAGATTGAATCAAAGCAATTATCGAATGAGTACTTCTGATAAGATATATCGATCGAATGTTGTCAAAAAGCAAAGAAAAAAATTTCATGCGGTTTTTTCGATGTGCTACGTATTGTCAGCATGTGTGTGAATGGATTGATACTACATGTGCCATAGTATCTCTCAAATAAGAACTTTGCATCTCACTAAAAATTAACTAGGTATAATTTGTTCAAAAATCGCTCATCTCACAGATTTTGAAAAGTTATACAAAGCTGCACGTTCTATAACTCATTTTTGTCATCAGTCACCGAATCTTATGTTCAACAGATAAATCATAAATATGTAGGAGCCATTGCACGTAGGTCACGACCAGCTTCAGCATAACATTGCTCAATCGATAACACCAATTTGGGTGATATTTTTATAGTAGGTAGGTACATCGGAGTTAGGAATAAACTGAAAGTTTCAGCTCAAACGGATCAGCCATTCAGGAGATATAGACGGTAGAACTACGAGGGGGTGGGTCCCATTTTCAATAACTTATAGTTCAATAGTTTCCAGTAAAGTTTCATTTTTTAAACAATGACAAGGGTGGCTGTGGGTGTGCATGTGGGCGTGGGCCTGGGGTGTGGGTGTGAGAGAGATGAACACCCACAGCCACAGCCACACCCCACACCAACACGCTTTTGAGAACAGAAAAGCCCGCTTGAATAGAGAAATATCTGCTGCTGAAATATTAATATTTTGTTTTTTCTATAACTATTGAAATACGTTACTGTCATTATTTATACATTCGTGATTTTATTTCCTATTAATCGACTTTCGTTCAACACTAACCAGATCAGTTTTAGATGTGTGGTTACATATTTAGGTCGTTTTTAATCTCGTGTAACAACAAACTGAGGAATTAGTTTACATCTGATATTAAAAAAACGTAAAATAAAAGTCGCAATTAAAGAGCTAATCAGTCTCATGTCAAGGAGAGGGCTGTCAAAGGTCCCGAAAATGTCCACTTTACTAAAAGTTCACTGAAAAATAGAGGGACTTCATTAGGCAAACAAAAAATATTGGAATTTTTCTGATATTGAACATATAGAAACAGAACTTGCTCATCTTCAATAGGTCACGTTAGACGATATTAAGAGTACTTTTCTATTACTTAACGGATATTTTTTGTTAGAAGGAACTCTCCTGTTGTAATAGATCATCTTAAATAATGTTAAGGGGACTTTTGACATCACGCCTCATATATATTCAGTAAATTCTCTTCTATATATAATCAAATAAATGAAAATAACACAACATGAAAAATTCTTTCGATTTTGCGAAAGCCAATTAAAGAAACAAACATCTCTTGGCTGTATATATATGCGAAGTAGATACGATGTCAATATATACGCTCGTTAAAACATGCTTAATATACAAAACAAATGCATGAAAACAATAAAATAAACAGTTCTTTCGATGCCAGAGAAGTTTTTTAAATAAACAAGTATCCGCTAGCAGAACATATAAATGAAACAAATCGGTCGTCATCTTATACATTTGTTAAATTTTTTTCCCACATTTCATCAAATAAATAAAAGAATTAGAAGGAGAAAAATCCTTCGTATCATAGAGAAGTCCATTGAAAACAGAAATATCCGTGATCTAAATATATACATGAAACAAATCTAAACATTATCATATGTCTCAGTTAAAATCGTATACGCATATTACTAAATAAGTCATTATATTAGAATTAAAAAAATTCTTTTGATATTCAGAAAAGTTCCTTGAACAAAGAAATGTCACTAGCCGATACATCCGAAACTAATAGGTCATCATAATATATATTCGTTAAAATATCTTCTGAAGACAATCGGATGAATGAAAGTAAGACGATAAGAGAAATCATTTTGATTGTAGAAAAATCTGCTGCAGAAGAGAGTATT